CTCAAAAAAAAAAAAAAAAAAAGAGATGCAGGTTCTCAGGCCCCATCCCGCGCCTGCGCATCAGAACTCTGCAGATGAGACTTGGGAATCGGTGTTTCTACCAGTCTCCCAGAAGATTTCCAGCATGTCCAAGCACGAGAACCACTGACTTGGTGAACCCACAGAAGCCAGGTGTCCTGTAGGAGTGGTTGTGTGTATGTAAAATTGTTCCTAAAATAAGTAATGAAGGCCAGGCACGGTGACTCACGCCTGTAATCCCGGCACTTTGGGAGGCAGAGGTGAGAGGATTGCCTGAGTCCAGGGTTTCGAGACCAGCCTGGGCAACATGGTGAGACCTCTTCTCTACAATAAATAAATAAATAAAAATTAGCTGGGCATGGTGGCTCAAGCCTGTACTTCCAGCTACTTAATAGACTGAGGCAGAAGGATCGCCTGAGTCCTAAAGGTCAAGACTGTGGTGGCTGTGAGTATGCCATTGCACTGCAGCCTGGGTGACAGAGGGAGACTCTGACTCAACAAAACAAAACAAAACAAAACAAACAAAACAAAAAATGTATATATATAATGAATTGCAATCATTTCTTGATTTTTGTGACCAGAGAGACTTCAGGGTGTCACCTGAGCCATGCCTGCTCCTAGTAGCTAAGTGCACAGTTGAACTCAAAATACATAAAGAGTCTTTGGAAAACTTGTTCTCTCAGATTTAGGTGGGAATCCAGTAAAGTTATAGTATATTTGACAGGTCCTTTATACAGACATAAAGTCTTTATTGTTATCATCAGACCACTGTCCTCTTGATTTTATACACTTTTTGATTTTGCAAAGTGAAAACATCTATTTAAAAATGAATTATTAGTACTCCCAGTGCTTTGGGAAGCTGGGAGGGGAATCACTTGAGGCCAGGAGTTTGAGACCAACCTGTGCAATACAGGGAGACCCTGTCTTCACAAAAATATAAAAAGGAAAAAAAAAGGTGGGCATAGTGGTATGTGCCTGTAGTTCCAGCTTCTTGGGAGGCTGAGGCAGAAGGATTTCTCGAGCCCAGGAGTTCAAGGCTACAGTGAGCTATGATCACACCACTTCTCTCTAGTGAGAGAGACCCTGTCTCTAAAAAATGAAATAAAAAAGAAGTGATTAGAGAACAGCATAATATTGATATAATCATGACCCTACTGTTCCTGAGGTACTGTGGCATATCAAAAATTTGTTTGCATTTTTATGTAATTAGGTGTATGTAGATATATTCAGGGGTATGCTGAGGAACTGACTGCCTGGAAAAAATGTTAAAGCTTTGGTTTAGAGCAGGGGTGTCCAACCTTTCAGCATCCCTGGCTTCCAAGTAAAGAGGAATTGTCTTGGGCTACACATAAACCATATAATATAGTTAGTGTATATACACCTAAGACTTCTTCTTTAAAAATATTTTTTAATTATAAAGTTTAGAAAAAGCCGGGCTCGGAGGCTCAGCCTGTAATCTCGCGCCTTTGGGAGGTTGAGGTGAGGGGATTGCCTGAGCCCGCGGGTTCGAGACCCGCCTGGGCAGCGAGACCTCATCTCTACAATAGATCAAAAAATCAGCCGGGCGTGGTAGCATGCGCTTGTAATTCCATCTACTGGGAAGGCTGAGGCGGAAGGATCGCTGGAGCCCAGCAGATCGAGGCTGCAGTGGCCGGAAGCATCCACTGCACTCCATTCTGGGCGACAGAGTGAGACTCCAACTCAAAAAAAAAAAAAAAAAAGTTTAGAAAAATGAGAACAAAACTAGTGGGAAATTTGACTGTGTTTCTGTAAAACTAATGTATCAATGTCAGGTTTTGATACCCAGTGGTATCCAGCTACTTGGGAGGCTGAGGCAGGAGGAGTGTCTGAGCCCAGGTGGTGGAGGATATGGTGAGCTGTGATCATGCCACTGCACTCCAACTTGGGTGACAGACTGAGACCCTGACTCAAAATTAAAAAAAAAAATGAGAAAAGTAAGGTTCAGGGTAACTTGTATCACATGATACATTTTTGAAGAAACAAAGACTACAACCCGTGTTCCCAATATGTCTATATGTAATTGATTAGGTTTGGGTGACAGTGGGTGACACTCAGGAAGCTGTAACAGGGCTGGAAACCTGGGCAGTGTGGTCAGAGGTTATGAAAGTCTTTGTTGGAGTTTTTTTACTCACAAGGAACCCATGATACTACTAAGTCATTCTGAACCCCTTTGAAGATTTTTTTTTTTTTTTTGAGTTGGAGGCTCACTCGCCCAGGCTGGAGGGCAGTGGCATGCTCACAAGCCACCCCAGCGTCAACCTGCTAGGCTCAGGTGGCCCTTCCATCTCAGCCTTCCAAGCAGCTGGAACTACAGGCACATGCTATCACACCCAGCTAATTTTGATTTATTGTAGGGACGAGGCTCACCCCTGGACTCAGACAATCGTCTCGCCTTGGCCTCCCAGGGTGCTGGGATGATAGGCTTAAGCCACTGCGCCCGGCGAATGTTTTTTAAAAGTGATCTGACACCTTCCCGTGTGAGGACTAAACTCTGACTTTTTTTGTCCTTCTTGCCAAATATCTAACTAAGGGGTCTGGGGAGTCACACCCCACAATGTCTCACTAGACAGGCTTTTATTAACCCTATATAATGTGGTTTACTTTCCAACTCATTCTGGTATAACATGGCATGACAGATAAAGAAGGAAATCAAAACTATTTTATGACCCTACAAAAAAAAGTCTGGGGAAACTTGCATCTGTGTAGAATCCCCTTCCTGGGGACTCGTAGGCACCTTTTAATAGTTTTTTTTTTTTTGGTGAGTCAAGGTCCCACTCTGTTGCCCAGGCTGGAGTTCAGTGGCTACCAAAGCCTTGACCTTCTGGGCTCAGGTGATCCTTCTGCCTCAGCCTCCCAAGTAGCTGGGACTACAGGCATGTGCCACCATGCCCAGCTAATTTTTTGATTTATTGTAGAGACGAGGTTGCGCCATGTTGCCCAGGCTGGCCTTGAACCCTTGGGCTCAGGCAATCCTCTCGCCTCCCCCTCCCAAAGTGCTGGGATGACAGCATCCGTGCCCGGCCCCAGGTGCCTTTAAAGACACTTACTACTTATTCTCTCTGAAGCTTGCTATTTAGAGGCTTCATCTTTGGATCAAAAACCTTGACGTGCCCAGCCCTCTCCATCTTAAACCAGCCTTTCTTTTACTAATTTCAAAATTCTTTAAACAGAGCTCAAGCCTTTCTACCAATTGCAGTAAAAAAACCTTTGACTTCATCTATGAGACCTGCAAGCCACCTCCCTCCACCCCCTCCCTGGGAGATGCCCTATCTTCCTTCCCAGGCTGAACCAATGCGAATCTCACATGTATTGATTTACGTTTTGCCTGTCACCTCTGTCTCCCTAAAAATGCATGAAGCCAAGCTATAATTCAACGATTCTGAGCACATGTTTCCAGAAGCTTCTGGGACTGTGCCCCGTGCCTAGGTCACTCACATTTGGCTTATACTAAACCCCTTTTGAAATATTGTTCAGAGTTTGGTATCTTTCGTCAATATGTCCAGTCAGGTACCTACAACTTTTTTTTTTGGTGGGGGTGTGTCGATGGCCTGGCATTTCACTACCTCATCAGAGGAGTCCCACTGACAGTTGCTTAACCTAAACCTTGTCCTTTGCTTTCCCTCTTCCAGGTCAAAGCAATAAGTGCCTCACGGGGCTGATGTGGTACTAGCCCCTGATGGGTCAGAATCTCAAAGGTGCTCTTTCTGCAGAGTCGACTGGATGCTCCTGTACCAGGGTATGGTAGTGCTGGCCGCCAGCCAGGTGTGGTGGACCTGGGAGGTGGAGGACGTCTTCCGCAAAGTGCAGGGAGGCCAGAAGCAGGCCATGAAGAACTACGGCAAGAAAATGCACCAGCAGATCGATGAGCTGGTCACGCGCATAACCATGCCCCTGAGCAAAAACGACAGGAAGAAATACAACACGGTGCTCATCATCGACGTGCACGCCAGAGACATCGTGGACTCTCTCATAAGAGGCAGGTGAGTGTCTGCCCAGGGCCCCGCATTTCAGAGGGGGCCCTTTGTCGCTCTCCGGCCCCCCCAACCATCTCCCTGGGACACATTCCTCGCCGTGCAGCATCCTCGAGGCCAGGGAGTTCGAGTGGGAAAGCCAGCTGCGGTTCTACTGGGACCGAGAGCCCGACGAGCTGAACATCCGCCAGTGCACGGGGACCTTTGGCTACGGCTACGAGTATATGGGCCTGAATGGGAGGCTGGTCATCACGCCCCTCACGGACCGGATCTACCTGACACTCACCCAGGTGACTGCCAGCCCGGCACCTGCCGTTGCCACTTGCCTTGGGACTGGGTGTTTCTCCCTGAGCGCGACTGGGTGATGGAAGTAGCAAGGGAGATCATTGCTTTGAAATCTCTTAAAGGTTTTCCATCTGGGATATGACCCGAGTGTCACCATTTGGGATCAGGATGTAAGCGTCCTCAGGACAGGCGCCAAACACAATTGATGGGAGGGTCAGTAGATGCCAATGGAAAAATGCAGAAATGTCACAGATGGTGACTGTCAGAGAGGGTGTGTGTGCCATGTTTTTGCATGTCTTGTGACAGCTTTTTTTCTGGATTGTCTGTTCAAGGGAACAGCCTTAGACAGTAGAGGTAGCGTCTTCCTCTGGGACAGAGGGAAGATTTGCTTGTTGTCTAGGATAATGAAGATAAGACTCTGTCCAGGCAGAGTTTGGGTAGGTTTGCAAGGATCCCAAGACTGCTTATGGGATGGGTGGTTTTTGGCGTACGATAGTCTCAAACTCCCGGGCTCAAGGATCCTCTTGCCTCAGCCTCCTGAGTAGCTGGGATGACAGGTGTGAACCACCATGTCCAACTAGCTTAATGGTTTCCTAAACTCATGTTCCTCGGCTATGACTCGTACCCACTGTGGGTGCAACGTACACCCTGGCCTGTCTCCATATCCCTTCCTGTGGGACTTGGGGGAATGGGGGCAAAGGGGCTGAGTGAGAACGGGAGGCCCATTCAGTCTCCTGTGCTGTGAGTGATAAAGTCCTTGTTTTTGAAAAAAGAGTGTAAACTTTTCTGTATTAGTCAGAATACTCCAGAGAAACAGACCTGATAGGACCTCTCTCCCCACACCTAGATATTACCTAGATGGATATCTAGGAAGAGATTTATCATGAAGTATCCACTCACCTGATTACAGAAACTGATTAGTCCCATAATCTTCTGTCTGCAAGCCAGAGAACCAGGAAAGGCATGGGGGTGGTTGGAAGGTCTGGCAGCCAGCAGTGTAGACCCCAGTCTGGGTCTGAAGGCCTGAGAGCCAGGAGTGTCAAGAGTGGAAGCCTGATGTCCTAGCTCAAGCAGTCAGGCAGTTAATTCACTGTCTTCCATCTTTTTTTTTTTTGTCAGGGTCTTACTCTGTCACACAGCTCGCCACAGTCTGGAATTCCTGGGCTCAGGCGATCCTCCTACCTCAGCCTCCCGAGCAGCTGGGTCTACAGGTGTGCGCTACTACGCCTGGTTAATTTTTTGATTTTTCGTAGAGACGAGGTCTCCCTATGTTGCCCAGGCTGGTCTCAAACTCCTGGCCGCAAGCGGTCTTCCCACCCTGGTCTCCCAAAGTGCTGGGATTGCAGGCGTGAGCCCCTGTGCCGGGACCCTCATCTTTTCTAGTTCTAGTCAGGCTTCAGCGGTTTGGATGATAGCCACCCAAGTATACTCAACCCACAAGCAATTCAAATGTGACTCTCTCCCTAAATGCCCTGCAGACACACCCAGAAATCATGCTTAGCCAGCTATCTGGGCATCTTGTGGCCCAGACAAGCTGACTCATGAAATTAACCACCACCATCTCGCACCTGCTGTCCCAGGGATGCATTTGGAAATGACACCTGCTTCCTTCTGTGCATCAGAAAACACATCTTTTGCATCTGGCTTATCACAGGCACTGTCCATGTACCTGGGTGGGGCCCCTGCTGGCCCAGCAGGTACCGGCAAAACTGAGACCACCAAGGACCTCGCCAAAGCCTTGGGTTTGCTCTGTGTCGTGACCAACTGCGGTGAAGGCATGGATTACAAAGTAAGGCCCTGCTGTCGTTTCGGCGCTGTCTCATTAGGCAGAGTGCTTAGAGCGGGACGTGGCATTTCACCTCTTAGTCTTCTGTGAAATGACATGGTGACAGCTGGAAGAATACAGTAGAAAAGCTTTCACCACCACAGCCTCAGAAACTGAAATGTGTCTGCTTAAAGATTTCGCTTTGTGAGTGACCTGTAGAACAAGAGTCCCAAACTTAATAGCCTACCAGGGTCAGGTAGATAGGTAATGAGTAAAGCAGCCTGCAGAGACAATAGAGAGGGGTGGGATCTGTGGCCAAACGGAGAGCAACACTGTCTAAAGAGGGCGCCACTGTTTGACTTTGACTAATTGTCACTTCTTGGGAAAGTGGACCCAGTGCGGCTCAATTTTCCCCACATTTCAAGAGAAGCCAGAAATCTGGAGTCTTACACCAAAAAATCTTGATTTGTAAAGTCCGGGGCGGGAGCCGGCCCGTGTGAAGCCTTGGCAATCTTGCCAGAAAGACCCGTTAGTGGGGTGGCTGGCGGGCTGCTTCTCTGCCTTAGCCACCGATCTCATTGTTTGCTTTAATTTGGAAAATGTGTTCCTTGAATGTGATGCTTGCAGTTTAGAGATGATGACACTTCTCGCCTTCTAGGCTGTGGGGAAGATTTTCTCTGGCCTCGCCCAGTGTGGGGCGTGGGGCTGTTTTGATGAGTTTAACCGCATCGACGCCTCTGTGCTCTCCGTGATCTCATCTCAGATCCATACGATCCGGAATGCTCTGATCCATCAGCTGACCAAGTTCCAGGTGAAAGCACCCTGTCCCCAGACACCCCCCCTGAAACCGCAGATGAGGGCGGGGGGAGGGATTGTCTTTTCAGAACAGGCTTCCTGTGGAAGAAGATCTGTTGGACTTCTGTTTTCCAGTTGAGATGGTCGGGTTTCCCCAAATTATCATCCTTGATGACGGAGGATTGTAATGGTCCAAGAGCTTCAAACGCATCCCAGACCTAGAACCAGTCGTTGCAGACAGGTGGGGTGGTGCTTCCAAAGAAGTGATGTGCAGGCCCCCTAGAAGGGGGGAAAACCCACATTCTTGGTGACTTCCCAAGTTTGAGAAAACCCGACTTAGAAAGTCCGTGTTCCAGCCAACCAGATTATTACAGTGAGCAGGACATTTTGCCCTCATGCCTTGTAAACGTATGGCATTATAACGAGTGGGATTTTAAAGGCTGTTATCAAAGCCAGGCTTGGTGGCTCAGCTTGTGATCCCGCACCTTTGGGAGGCTGAGGTGAGTGGATTGCCTGAGCCCGCGCGTTCGAGACCCGCCTGGGCAGCGAGACCTCATCTCTACAATCAATCAAAATATTAGCTGGGCGTGGTAGCGCGCGCCTGTCATTCCGGCTACTCGGAAGGCTGAGGTGGAAGGATCGCCGGAGCCCAGCAGGTCGAGGCTGCGGTGGCCGGGAGCGGCCACTGCACTCCGGTCTGGGCGACCGAGTGAGACTCCAACTCAAAAAAATAAAAATAAAATAAAAATAAAAAATAAAGGTTGTTATCAAAGTAAGAAGGCAAAATTTTTAAAAAAATGAGAATTCACCAATCTCCTCCCTGTCCAAGGATATGCTTGCAAACTCGAGTTTGAGCAGTCTGCGTCAAATTACATCAGATTAAGCGGGACCAGAATTTGGAGAAACACCATCTTACTAGATAGATGATTCAGGTAGCCCAGAAGTGGGTTATCTGATGACACAGGACAGCATGGCTGGGCCATTTCCCCACACTGGGACCCTCTGTGCTCCCTACGTCCCGCTGCCCCTCCTGCCTCTGTCCTCACCCCTGTGTGCCCTGCAAACTCGTCACCTTGTGCCACTCACTCTGCAGTCACACCATGTCCTGTGACATCACGTGTGTCCTCATCTGCCTGGAATTGTCCCTTCTCTTCCTTTACCTGAAAACTCCTACACTTCCTCCAGAGCCCCATTGGGAGGTTCAGGATCAAAATTCAGCTTGGACTGGTGGTCCTGGCATCCTGCCTGCTTTCTCCCCAGACCTCGGCCGGGGGTCACTGTCAGAAGATTGTATACACTAGATACTGTTAAATATGCTCAGAATTCCAGTAAAGGTTCCGGACAGATTGTCTCTCAGTTAGTTCTTCCGAACTATTTTAGGGTTGAGCTGACTGTCCCTATGGGAGGGGAAATTGAACCCCTGCGGTGTGTAGTTCCCGGAAAGAGCATCTGGGCCTCTCATGGGACCCCGAGGAGGGATGAGGATGGGCTTAGGGCAGACTTGAGAGACAGACGGTAGCCTCGTTTGGGGGAAAGCGTCAGCTATCTGCTGGGCTGCCCTCTTGTCAGTGATGTAGCCTGGGCCTCCTAAAAATGGAAACTTCTGTCCTCTGCCTATCCGGCAAACAACCAAAAGAAAAGTGAAATTTTAGTTGACAGAAAAGTTCACTGGGACTTCGGCTAAAGAGGCTAAGAATATGGGGATTTCTGCAGTTTGTTGGTACTTGGGGCAACTTGAGAATTGAAGACTGGCTTCTTTTTCTTTTCTCTATCTCTTTTTTTGAATAGGAGTCTCACTCTGTTGCCCAGACTGGATAGTGTGGCATGCTCACTGCCACCGCAGCCTCGATCTGCGCTGGGCTCAGGCGATCCTTCTGCCTCTTCCTTCCAAGTAGCTAGAACTATCTTTTTTTTTTTTTTTTTTTGAGTTGGGTCTCACTCTGTTGCCCAGGCTGGAGTGCAGTGGCATGCACTTACCACAGCGTCCACTTGCTGGGCTCAGGCGATCCTTCTGCCTCAGCTTCCCAAGTAGCTGGAACTACAGGTGTGTGCCACCATGCCCGGCTGATTTTTTGATATACAGAGATGAAGTCTCCCCATGTTGCCTATGCTGGTCTGCAACCCCTGGGCTCAGGCAATCCTCTCAGCTCTGCCTCCCAAAGGGCCGGGATGACAGGTGTGAGCCACTGTGCCCCGCTAAGTCTGGCTTCTTGAAGGATGCCGAGGTGGGATTCTTTAGGGAGGGTGGACTACATTAAGTCCAGGCACCCAGGCGGGGTGGGCTGGGGAAGGTCCGGAGGGCATGAGGGAGGGAAACTGTGTGCAGGACGGGACTGGGTGCTCTCACCTGTGCCATCTCATCCAGTCACCACGACGTGCAGAAGAGGAAACCAAGACCCAGAGAGGTCCAGTGCCCTGTGGGGGGGGGGTCACACAGTGCCTTGCATCAGCCCTGGGCTGCGGGCTTTCCGGACCTCGGCCGCTTGGTTCAGACCAGAGGGTGGGGGGTCAGCCTTAGGGGAGGAGAAGAGGTCTACACTTGGCACCTGGGAAGAGAAAGACAAACGGCAGCCCCCGCCTCGCACCATGAGAATAACGCCCCGCGGGCCGCCCAGGCCTCCTCTCCTGGGGCGGCGGCCGCGTGACCCCACCGCTTTTCCCTCTCACCCTCCAGTTCGAAGGGCAGGAGATCTCCCTGGATTCGCGAATGGGGATCTTCATCACCATGAACCCCGGCTACGCGGGCCGCACGGAGCTGCCCGAGTCGGTGAAGGCGCTGTTCCGCCCGGTGGTGGTGATTGTGCCCGACATGCAGCAGATCTGCGAGATCATGCTGTTCTCCGAGGGCTTCCTGTGGGCCAAGGTGGGGCCCGGCTGCTGGACCTGCTTCCGGCCAGGGGCGTGGGACTCGTGTGGGCTGCGGGACTCTTGAACACGTGTCGCCTTGTTTGTCTCCTCCCTGCCTCCCTACCTTTAAAAACAATTTTTAAAAAAATTAAAACAAATGTTTTTCAGAGTTAGAGTCTCACTGTCACCCAGGCTGGTCACGGCCACTGCAGCCTCAATCTGCTGGGCTCCAGAGATCCTTCCGCCTCAGTCTTCCAAGGAGCTGGAACTACAGGCGCGCGCGCTACCACGCCCAGCTCATTTTTTTTGATTTATTGTAGAGACGAGGTCTTACCATGTTGTCCTGGCTGATCTCGAATCCCTGGGCTCAGGCAATCCTCTCGCCTCTGTCTCTCAAAGTGCTGGGAATACAGGCGCGAGCCACCGCACCTGGCCTTGCCTCACCTTTTTTTAAGTTATAAGTTTCAATTTGGGAATAATTTAAGTTGCACAAGAGGTTGCAACAATAGTCACACTGTGTCCCCTTCCCCACGAGAGTGTCTTACATAGCCACAGTTCATCATCACAACCAGGAAACTGACGCTGGTACAAATGCCATTAACTCAGCTATGCACTTCATTTGGATTCTACCAGGTTTCACACTCTCTCTCTCTGGTGGGTGCATGTAGTGCTATGACTTTTCTTTTTTTTTTTTTTTTTAGTTGGAGGTCTCGCTCTGTCGCCCAGGCTGGAGTGCAGTGGCAGTGCACTGCAGTGCTCACTGCAGCTTCAACCTCCTGAGCTCAGGCGGTTCTCCCGCCTAAGCTTCCTGAATAGCTGGGACTACAGGCGCACACCACCACACCTGGCTAATTTTTTAAATTTTCTGTAGAGACGAGGTCTTGCTGTGTTGCCCAGGCTGACCTTGAATTCCTGAGCTCAAGCGATCCTCCCTCCTTGACCTCCCAAATGCTGGGATGACTTGTGTGAACCACCATGTCCGGCCAGTTCTATATTTTAATACATGAGGATGGGAGTTACTGTCACTGCTCTCAGGACACGGAACTGTCCCATCACCACAAAGAAACTCCCTCATGTTACCCCATCATGGTCATACCCTCCCCTCAATCCTTCCTCCTGGCAACCCTGATCTATTCTCCAGTTACTAAAATTTTATCACTGAGAATGTTCTATCCCTGGAGACATACAATATGCAACCTTTTGAGATAAGCTTCTTTCACTTCTCATGCCCTTGAGAATATGTGGATTTAAAAAAACCTTTTATAGATAACTGTCATCCTCTTTTAAAATGTCTTTAAAAAGTACACATAGATCTTTCCAGAAGGTTCTGGAAAGAGTACAAAATAGAGGATGCTTTTAACATAAAGGGTTGTTACATTGCTTTTCTGCAATATATATTTTATTGACAGCACTTACTGTCTATTACACCATCAGGATTTTTGAGATAATGTGATGAGATTGCTTGTTTAGTTTCTTTTTGTTTTTTTTTTTTGAGTTGGAGTCTCACTCTGTCGCCCAGACTAGAATGCAGTGGCACACTTCTGGTCACCGCAGCCTCGACCTGCTGGGCTCTGGCGATCCTTCTGCCTCAGCCTTCCAAGTAGCCGGAATTACAGGCACACACTACCACACCTAGCTAATTTTTGATATATTGTAGAGACGAGGTCTCGCCAAGTTGCACTGGCGGGTCTGCTTGTTTTTTTGTTTTGTTTTTTTTTTTGAGTTGGAGTCTCACTCTGTCGCCCAGACTGGAGTGCAGTGGCCGCTCCCGGCCACCGCAGCCTCGACCTGCTGGGCTCTGGCGATCCTTCCGCCTCAGCCTTCCAAGTAGCCGGAATTACAGGCATGCGCTACCACGCCCGGCTGATTTTTTGATTTATTGTAGAGATGAGGTCTTGCCAAGTTGCCCAGGCGGGTCTCGAACCCGCGGGCTCAGGCAATCCACTCACCTTAGCCTCCCAAAGGCGCGGGATTACAGGCTGAGCCACCGAGCCCGGCTTGTTTAGTTTTTATGACTAAAATTCCCTCGCCTGCCTTAGGGACCAGTGGGGTTTTACATTCTTGACATAGTCTGGGCTACTGACTTGTCCTCAAAAGCAGTGGCAGCTTTAATAGTAGGGTTAGGTTTCAGTCAGAATAAGCAAGAAGCATATTTTTCGAGCATGAGGGCTGCAATGGGTTCTGTTCTTTAAGGCGGGTAAGTTTTTCCCCAGCTTTTTAAGAAAGTCATCAGGTCTTGGTAAGCCAGATGTTCTTTCGAGTTAGTGTTTTCTTGTCCACAGTTAAAACTGAGGACCCACCCTGGTATTTCTGAAAGTTAGTAATGAGTGTTGCTTACTTACAGAGCGGCTGCACTGGAATGTCTGTAGTCATTTTCTTGCATCTGTATCGTGACGTTCTGTGCTTTCTCATTATCTTACTGTATTTTTAAAAAATGATCCTCCATCCAATAGACTCTGGCCAAAAAGATGACTGTCCTGTATAAGCTGGCCCGGGAGCAGCTCTCCAAGCAGCACCATTATGATTTTGGACTCAGAGCCCTGAAATCGGTGCTGGTGATGGCTGGTGAGCTGAAGAGAGGCTCCCCTGACCTTCAGGAGGTAAGGGCCATGTGCTGGGACCTTCTTTGGCCTCCTTTGACTCACAAGCATTGAGTCGATGCTGGGAGGGAGGTGATGGGTATAGTACGGTTCTTGACTGGAAGTTTCACGTCTTAGCTTTCACTTCACGTAGGGTTTTGCCCTACTTTGGTTTCCTACCCGTCTTATTGTTTACTTCTAATCAGACATTGCCTGAAGGTCAAGTTCAATGTCTTCACTGCAGTAGCAAAATGTATGATGCTTCAATAGTAAGAGTCAATCTGTCATCTAAGAATGGTAGGGTGGATGGGTAGGGACAAACTAAATTCTCATGAAATTGTGCATGTGAGTTTTTACTTTCTCTCTGCAACAAAAGAGAGGGGGGCAATTATTATTGTTTTTGCACAGAATTGGCACGAAAGTTCAAGTTCAGTCCCTCCATCTCTGGAACTTTTCACCTTGTAAAACTGTTTCATGAGCAATAGGCCCACTATTTCCCTAGTGACTGTACTCACAGAATTTTACATCTTATTTGATTTTTATTTTTATGTAAAATTTTACATTTCACTTTTATTGACTTCATTTTTGATGTTTATTTTCATATAAAATTTTAATATACAAATATATAAACATTTAAAATTACATGTAATTTCTCCATATATTTATTATATATTTGTACATTAAATACCAGTGGTATCAAAAAATGTACACACATTTTAAGAGATGTTTGCCCTATCAGAAGTGCCTAGGCCAGGATTGATTGCTCAGTCTGTAACCCCAGCACTTTGGGAGGCTGAGGCAAGTGGATTGCCGAAACCTGCAGGTTTGAGGCCAGTCCGGGCAACTTGGTGAGACCACGTCTCTACAATAAATAAAAAATTAGCTGGGCATGGTAGCTTGTGCCTGTAGTTCCGGCTACTTGGAGGACTGAAGTGGAAGGATCACCTGAGCCCAGCAGGTCAAGGCTGGGGTGGCTGTGAACGTGCCACTGCACTCTAGCCTGGGCGACAGAGTGAGACTCACTCAAAAAAAAAAAAAAAAAGTGTCTGGATGCTGACAATGCAGAAGTCAAGTTATTGGTATATGCTGAGTATTACAATTTTTTTCATTTTTTTATTTTTTGAGTTGGAGTCTTACTCTGTCGCCCATGCTGCAGTGCAGTGGCATGCTCATGGCCATCCCAGTGTCGACCTGCTGGGCTCAGATGATCCTTCTGCCTCAGGCTTCCAAGTAGCTGGAACTACAGGCATGTGCCACCATGCCTGGCTAATTTTTTTAATTTATTGTAGAGATGAGGTCTCACCAAGCTGCCCAGGCTGGTCTTGAACCCATGGGCTCAGGCAATCCTCTCACCTCAGCCTGAGTACTACAATTTTAATACCGTTTCTTTCTTTCTTAAGATGTATACATTTTTTGGCATCCTCTGTATATGTAAACATTAAAAAAAAATACAAGCTTTACATACGAATTTCATTTTGTATTTCTTTTCTTTTCTTTTTTTTTTTTTTTGAGTTGGAGTCTCCCTCTGTCACCCAGACTTGAGTGCAGTGGCCGCTCCCGGCCACCGCAGCCTCTACCTGCTGGGCTCCAGCGATCCTTCTGCCTCGGCCTTCCAAGTAGCTGCAACTACAGGCGCGTGCTACCACACCCGGCTAATTTTTGATTTATTGTAGAGATGCAGTCTCGCCAAGTTGCCCAGGCGGGTCTTGAACCGCGGGCTCAGGCAATCCACTCACCTCAGCCTCCCAAAATGCAAGATTACAGGCTGAGCCACCGAGCCCGGCTCATTTTGTATTTCATAAGAGGTTTCCAGACAACAACTTAGTCTCTCCAGAAATCTCTTGCAAACGTCCGTGTTTCGTTGCGTCCAGGATGTGGTGCTGATGCGGGCCCTGCGTGACATGAACCTGCCCAAGTTTGTGTTTGAAGACGTCCCTCTCTTCCTGGGCTTGATTTCTGACCTGTTCCCTGGGCTCGACTGCCCTCGTGTCCGCTACCCCAATTTCAACGATGCCGTGGAACAGGTCCTGGAGGAGAGTGGCTACGTGGTCCTCCCCGTTCAGGTGAGCAGTGTGACCATGGGCACTCACTGTGGGCTCTGCAGCCTTTCAGTTGGTTGGCTGCTTGTTTCTGCAGTTCTTTACACACATTTATGGTAAAATGCGTGTACGTGTGACCCTCTTAACCATTTCCCCCACTTTTTTGATTGTGATCAAACATACATGACAGTTTACCCTCTTCACCACTTTTGCGTGTACAGTTCAGTGGCATTAAGGACATTCACGCTGATGTGCACCATCACCAGGATCCGTCTCCAGAACGCTTTCATCTTGTGAAACCAGCATTCCAAACTCATCAGACAACTTGCATTCCCCCTCCTCCAGCCCTGGCACCCACCTTGCCACTTTCTGTCTCTGAATTTGACCACTCTGGAGACCTCCTATAAGGGGAATCATTCAGTATTTGTCCTTCTGTGTCTGGCTTCTTTCAGTTAGTATAAGGTCTTCAAGTTTCATCTATGCGTCAGAATCTCCTTCCTTTTTAAGACTGAATAATATTCCGTTGTATGGAGAGAGGTATATATTCATTCTACTCATCTTTTTTTTTTTTTTTTGGCACAACATGACCAGGTGATTCAAATATTTTGTTTTGGAGCATCAACCATCTAGTGTCTGTCCCTACCTGCCTTTTTGTCCCTGAGCCACATTCACAAAAAAAAAAAAAATTAAATTAAACATTGCTGGGTTAGGATTTTGATCATCTGAAGCCTGTAAGGTTGTATATGTTGTCATTAAGCCAAAAACATATTGGCAGAGTGTCCCACTGAGAGTGTAAGCGCCCAGAACCGCAGGACCAGGGTGGCTGGGCTGGTCAGGCTGCCTTGGGGTATCTAGCTACCCAGAGGCCTCGGCCGCCATGCCATGGGCAGTGGGCACCAGCCATGGATGGGTCTCGCTGTGCTTTTCCTTGCCCTGATTTTCTCTGGAAGTGGCTGTTGAAGAAGATGTGTTTTCGGACATGAATGTAAAATGGCACAGCCACTTTGGAAAACAGCCTAGCACTTCCTGGACAGGTTAAACACAGAGTTACTGGATGGCCCAGCAATTTCACTCCCAGATATCTACCCAGGAGAAATGAGGACAAATGTCCACTCAGAAACTTGTTCACACGTTCACAGCAGCATTTGTCATAATAGCCAAAAAGTGGAAGCAGCACAATGTCCATCAACCAACAGATTGACAGATGAGACAGGATGTGGTCTGTCCATACCGTGGGATACTAATAGGCCATAAACAGCATGAAGAACCGACACGTGCTTCAACATGAACGAGCCTGACACATTGTGCTGGGTGAGAGAAGCCAGACACGAAAGGCCACATGTTGTAGGATTCCGTTTGTATGAAATGTCCAGAACCGGCAAATCCATAGAGACAAAGCAGATTGGTGGTTGCAGGGGCTGGAGGAAATGGAACTGACAGAGATGGCCAAAGGGTACAGGGCGTTTTGTGGAAAGAGGTGATTATGTTCTAAAATGGGTTGTGGAGGCCTGGCAAGTGGCTCAACGCCTGTAATCCCAGCACTTTGGGAGGCTGAGGCGGGAGGATCTCTCGGACCCAGAAGGTCGAGGCTGTGGTGAGCTGTGATCGTGCCACTGCACTACAGTCTGGGCAACAGAGTGAGACTCCGACTCAAAAAGAAAAAAAAAAAGGCACTGTGGTGATGGTGGCACAACCCTGTGAATATACTAAAAACCACTGACTTGTACCATTTTAATGAGTGAATTGTGTGGTATATGAATTATATCAATAAAACTTTTTTTGGTGAAGATCTATTTTAACCCAGCTGCCAATGTTTCTCCCACAGGTGGATAAAGTGGTTCAAATGTACGAGACCATGTTAACCCGACACACGACCATGGTGGTGGGGCCCACTGGAGGGGGCAAGTCCGTGGTCATTAACGCACTGTGTCAGGCCCAGACCAAGTGAGTGTGACCTCCGTGGGGTGGCCTGGCTGGTTTCACAGTAAATGTTTGTCTTTGCTCTCTGACTCCTTGGGAGGGTAAATTTGTCCTAAACACCCCTGCAAGCTCAGAGCGTCTTTACTTGCTTTATTTGAACACGTTGAATGCAAAATAGTGACCCTTTGGTGCGTCAGACGGTAAATAGGCTTATTTGTGAAATGGAAATTTCACAAACTATCTTATAAGGACATCCTGAAAATGAATGTATGTGGTGTTTTCCTGGCCCTCAGATTGCTTGGTTAAAGTAAGTCAGGGCCCATCCACTGCTGTGATATTGGAGTGGCCAGAAAAAGTGTCATCTTCCCAGATGCCTTATTGTTACCAGCCTCTCAGGGGCAATTCTGCTTGAAGGAAAAAGTGATCTCCTACTCCTGTATTGACTGTCATAAAGGCCTGGAGTGAATTGACAGCCTTATACTGAAGGGGGATTTCCTGAATTCTCCCTTTTCTCCTAAGCAATAACTAGATTCCAGAAAGACTCCACTGGGTGCTGAAGTCCAGCCTAAGTCTAAATCAAGCCTTAGAATTTCTGTAGCTTTAACATTTCTAGATAGTCTGTGGAATCCAATGAGTAAGTGATGATCCTTTCTTCCTCTTATTCCTTTGTACGCTTCATACAAGAAGACCCGAGGGCGGTGGCTTATTGACTCTAAGTGGTCATCCTGGGTTTCATTCTTTAATTCATTCATGGTTAGACAATCTATAGAACTATCTTATACTTACAGGTGTATATATAATATAAGGTGTATATTATTATTCTTGATTTATTTGTTAATGATGAACTATGGTTTGTGTGAAGTTCAGTTTTCTCTAGATGAATTAATGCATGGTTCGTGTTGTGGGAATTTGGAGTGGGAAACACTTCTGTCTGCCGGATTTTTTTTTAAAAGCAGGATTTATTGAGAGGATGGAAGAGCTCCCAGTGGGAGGGCACCCAAGGGGGTTGCCCCATCTGCCTGAGTTTTGAAGTCAGCAACGCAAAGCAGATGTTGTCCTGTACATAAGAGCTATTGAACATCAGTTGTACAAATGCTTGTTGCGTTATCCTGAATGACTGAGTATTGTCTCCTGTACTCCATTAATCATGAAATAGTGGCCCAAATGCCATATACATGAGTATTTAATATGCACTAACTTGAAATATCCCTGAAAGACAGCTTCCTGGTGCTTTCCAAAGGCGAAGCTTTGCTTGCAGCCCAGGCCTCATTTGTGTTGGGGCCACGTTGTCAGTAGAACATGGTTCCTTCGTGTTGAGTGTAAGCCATTAACAGTGAACGGGAAGCCCAGTGGAGAGTCCGAACGGATTACATTCAAAATTTCGGGTTGGATTCAAAACATCTACTTCCTTATACAGGCAGCCCAGCTTGTTTTCCTAATGCATTTAGTTTGCTTGCAGCATGGCTGAAGCCTCTCTTTTAATGTAGGCTTGGGTTGATGACAAAGTTGTACATCCTGAATCCCAAAGCCATGAGCGTCATAGAGCTCTATGGCATTCTGGACCCCACCACTCGGGACTGGACGGACGGGGTGCTGTCAAACATCTTCAGGGAAATCAACAGGCCAACAGATAAGAAAGAGCGAAAGTGAGTATCTCTGTAAGTAGGAGAGAGTCCGGGTTAGTTACTATTAATTAGCTAATGGTTACTATTCATTAGTTCGTGTGAATAAGCTAAGTACAAATGGACTCCAACAGACTTAAGAGTCAAATTCCTGAGGCTCTGTTTACGAAGTACCAGGTATCAGGTTAGTGCTTCTCACGTGTGATCGCAGTCGGTCCTCAGCAGCGTGATGACGAGTACCGGGATTGTCTCTGGCTCACCACAGAGGAAACTGAGCCCTAGAGGAGGCAGGAAACATGCCCAAGGCCAGAGATCTGACCCTGGGCTATGTGACTGTGAGTCCCCAAATGCAGCCACCACACCTGGTCACTGTGCTCCAGGGACAGGTAAGTCAAGAAGAGGCAGCAAATTCTCATGGGGAATGCTGGGCCACCCTTCTGGATGATGGCTTCCTACGTGTAGGCGTGGCTGGTGACACCCTGCTGACTTTTCTGTGTGCAGCAGCGAGATGTAGGGGAGGCTGGGTGTGGAGGACCTGGAGGCACCTCAGGTAAAAAGCTTTAGGCTGCTCCTATGATGCCTCTTTGAGAAACTCGGGAATGGTCCTGAGTTTCTGTTCTTGTCAGATTTCATTAGTAATAAATAGAAGCCTTAAGTAACAAGCGGCTCAAGTCTCAGCTGATGGCTTTTAAAATAGCCTCTTTTTAGCACTTCTCCCCCGTTCGGATTGCTCCAGGATTTCACATGGAGTTCAGTCATCATTTCTTCTTGGCATCCTTTAATTTCTTTTTGTTTTGAGTTGGAGTCTCCCTCTGTCGCCCAGACTGGAGTGCAGTGGCCGCTCCCGGCCACCGCAGCCTCCACCTGCTGGGCTCCGGCGATCCTTCCACCTCAGCCTTCCGAGTAGCCGGAATTACAGGCGCGCGCTACCACGCCTGGCTAATTTTTTGATTTATTGTAGAGATAAGGTCTCGCTGCCCAGGCGGGTCTCGAACCCGTGGGCTCAGGCAATCCACTCACCTCAGCCTCCCAAAGGCGCGGGATTACAGGCTGAGCCACCGAGCCCGGCTTATCCTTTAATTTCAAGCAGTTCCTCAGAATTTCTTTATCCTTTATGACTTTGATGTTCTGGAAGATTCTCGATCAGCTGTTTTATAGATTGGTGAAAGTTGAATATGGACTGTATATTAGATCATAGTATCATATCACTGTTAAATTTCCTGAATTTGCTCATTGTGCTGTGGTTATTAAGTGAAGGTGCTTGTCTTTGGCAAACTGGGACACAGTATTGCTTGAACCCAGGAGCTTGAGACCAGCCTAGGCAATATAGTGAGACCTGTCTCTACAAAACAGAACAAAACAAAATTAAAAAACTCCCCCAAAACCAATTAGCCAGGTGTGGTGGTGTATGCCTGTAGTCCTAGCTACTCAGGAGGCTGAGGTGGAAGGATTGCCTAAACCCAAAAAATTGAGCTGTGATCGTGCAACTGCACTTTGGCCTGAGTGCGACCCTGACTCAAAAAAAAAAAGATACTTGCTTTTAGGAAATACATGCTTAAGTATGTAGGTAAAAAGGACATTGTATCTGACTCTCAAATAATTCAGAGAGAGAGAAAATTTAAAAGTAGCAAAATATTTAACAATTGGAGTATCTGGTTGAAAGGCATGCGGGAGCTCTTTGTACTATTCTAATCTTGTAACTCTGTAAATTTGAAATTATTTAAAAATTAAAAGTTGAAAAGAAAAAAATACTGGAAGACAATAAATCAAAATGTTACTGCTGCAAAAAATCAATTTACTTATATCAGTGTATTAAACAGAGCAATATCAAACCCTCGTTCCAACACCATAGAAAGTTGGGGTCCTTTCTGTGGAGGTGGGCTGTGCTGTGCTATAACCCATCATAGCCACAACATTCAAGCACCACGTGACTTGAATACCTGAGGCCTTGAAGCCAAGTGGACCTGCTTCCTCCCTTGCCTCTTCCTGCTTCTGGTGGCTCCAGATGTTCCTTGGCTTGTGGCCATATCATTCCCCTTCTCCCTCCGTCTTCACATGGCCATCCCTCCGTGGGTCTCAAATTTCCCTCTGGTTTTCTCTTATGAGGACACTTGTCATAGGATCAGGGCCTGTATAACCCAGAATGATCTCATCTTGAGATCCTCCATTAGGCCTGCAAAGATCTTTTTTCAAAGTCATAGTCACAGCTTCTGGGTGAACACACCTTTTGGGGCATTTGCCACTCAAGACACTACACACGGATACACAAAATAATTCCCTTTTCTCTTAACTCTACCATAAGGGAACTAGGAGTTAAAACTAGTGATAAATAACAATTGCTATCTGGCCTCAGATTTAAGAAAAGAATGGTGTGGGGGTTGGGGGAGACTGGGACACCTTCCATCTTCATGGGCAGCTACTACTCAGTCACAGCGATTGTTCTTATACAGGAATGCAGATCTGTGTGGTCAAACCTTCCTTTCCTGGTTGTTGCCCGAGAAGCAAGAAGTTCAGATATTTGTGGGAAGTTTCCTGTTTCTTAAATGTTGGCAAACAACTCAAACAGTTTTTATGTATCATGTGGGTCAAACTTCTGGAATCACTAGGCTGTAACTCAGATCCCAGCTAGAAAACCCTGGAAAAAGGTGTCCCACACGAATGAGCAGGTTACACCGAGTTCTGTAATTGGAAGCTCCCAAGGACCCATGACTCACCTTTCTTCGGCTGCTGCAGGTATATTTTATTTGATGGTGATGTGGATGCTCTGTGGGTGGAAAACATGAATTCTGTGATGGACGACAACAGGCTGTTGACACTGGCCAACGGGGAGCGGATTCGACTTCAAGCACACTGTGCTCTGCTCTTTGAGGCAAGTAGTGGTGGAAAGTCATTTCGAACATAAGCCTTTCTTTTCATTAAAAATTTAAATGTTTGTTAATGTAGTAATAGGGCAACCCCCCGGGTCCCCTCCCACTGTGGGAGCTTTTCTGTCCTCTCAATAAATTCCTCTTTCAATAAATACAATAAAATAAAGTAGTAATAAATATGGATGATTATTAAAATCAAGAGTTTATGCTGCGTAAGAGTTTATGATGAGTACAGTTTGTTGTTCCTACTTCTTTCCCTAATCCCCCTTTACTCTACCCCAGAGGTGACTACCTTTACTTTTTCTGAGTTATTTCTTCTGATGATTACTTTCATATCTAGAAGTAACATGCTTAGCATGCTAGTTCTTCCTTAGCATGCTAGTTCTTCCACATTTATCCACTTTTTATTGACTGACTGCTATGAAGGTGAGAATTCATCTTTTAGCACACTTCCCTTCCTCAGAAAGGTAGGTATATTGCTAACTAGGTTAACAGTAAACAGTATTTACATTATTAAGAAGATAGAAATATTTGTTGCAGAACCAACTAGTATACTGCAGTTACTTTCTTTTGGAGTCATTTGTTTTGTCTGGAGTTTGTAATTGCCTTCCTTTTCTCCCCCATACACTATTTGCACTAAAAACAATCTTCATTTGTTTTTTCAAACCTTCTAGCAAATCAAATATGCTGTTGAGTTCCTTTATTTCCAGGACACTATTCTTCAAGACTCTCCATCTCCTGCTTATAACATGGACAGGCTTGTTTTATAGCTGTGACTCTGGGGTTTGCTTTCACTCTGGGCTTAATATTAATGCTATTCCTAACTTGGCCTGAAACATTTGTCAGTGCACAAGTGTTTGCATATATCATCTTATTAGCTGACTGAACTGTGTCTTTTTTCATAGAGATAGGTTTGTTAATATTGCTGACTTAGCTGTGTACTTATTAAGTTTTATACCACCTGATCTCAACTATGTTAAAAGAAAGAAAGAAAAAAGACAGAAAGGAAAACATTCTAAGACAATGTTTATTTTTGGGTGGTGGGATTTGGATAACTTTTTTCTTTATACTTTTCTTTTTTTGTCAGATAATCTATGACATTAATTTTATAGTGAAAGAAAGCTTTAAAAGGTGTTATATCAGAGATGTATAATCTTCTCATCATAAACTTGAGTGTTCACTTAAAAGCCTCATTAAAGCTGTATTAATTTTAGAATGACTTAGGTTTTGAGCAGTTGTAAAACCTTTACACAATAAAAGTCCCTTAAACATCCAGTCTGTCTTTTTTGGAGTTGTAAGCATGATGGATTTTCTTTATTTTTTCAGGTTGGAGATTTACAGTATGCCTCTCCTGCAACTGTCTCTCGATGTGGAATGGTTTATGTGGATCCTAAAAATTTGAAATATCAACCATTCTGGACAAAATGGGTTAATAAAATACAAAGCAAGGTGAAAATTATTTTCAAAATGAACTCCAAGTTCCTAGTATCGGTAGCTAGTTGGATAACATAGCCCAGAGGGATGTTTGCAGTTGAAGGCTGTGACCTTGTCCTTGACCTGCCTGTGTCCTTGAGCACAAATGCAATGAAAACACGGCAGACACGTATTAGATTTCAGATAATTTCTAGTGGTGGGATAGGTAATGATTCTGCTGGTCTAGAACAGGAGTTGACAAACCTTCTGTAAAGGGTAGATAATAAATATTTTAGGCTTTGTGGGCCATATGGTTTATCTTGCTCAAGTCTACTGTTATGGCACGCAAGCTGCCAGTGAGAATATATGCATGAATGGACATGACTGTCTACCAATAAAACTTTATTTACAAAAACAGGCGGCAGGCCAGAAGTTTGTGTTGTCTTCACAATAAACTTCATTGAAAGGTGTGGAGATGGACGAGACAGTCATGTGCAGATTGTGGCTTGACCACAACCAAGACCACATTCTCAAAGGCACACAGATAGGCTGGGGATTTCTAGAAGGGCTACTAGGCAGGAGGTGAATTGGAAATCAGGACATTATTATCCCCCAAAATAAAGGGAAACGTGATAGGACTATTTGAGGCACTGTCATATGGGAGAGAGTCGTCTGAGAACCCATGCAATTCCTGGGGGTCATCAGTACCTGGAGAGGAAGAGAGGCTTTCACTACGTACACCCTTTGCTGGAGGACTGGTCATGTCACTTGAAGATGGTCAGCCCTTCTCTGTTCAACGGGCCCTGTTATTCTCCTTCCTTCTTTCCCAGGGTCAGGGTAGACCCTATAGCAGCGAAATGAAATACTTCATGATGAAATGAAAGTGTATTGTAGAGGATAAATCTCTTTACAAATACAAGGCACTATTATCAAGGTTTCCTCACCTGCTGTATTTATTATTCATTAGAAGACATTCCTCACTCCTCTTTGAGCAAGAAAAGCTTTCCATTAACTTCCGCTGAAATAAATAAACCTTGAAATGCTTTGGAATGCTGCTCTTTTACAGGCAGAACAATACAATTTAAATAATCTCTTTGAGAAATATGTGCCCTCCCTCATCGATATGATAGTGGAAGGGATCGTGGATGGAAGGCCAGGAGAGAAGCTGAAGACGATAGTTCCTCAGACAGACCTCAATATGGTAAGAAACGGTCGCTGCTGTTAGCAAAAAGAAATTCTTCCTTAAAGATAGACCCACAGGCTTTTTTTTTTTTTTTTTGAGTTGGAGTCTCACTCTGTCACCCAGACTGGAGTCCAGTAGCTGTTCCCGGCCATCACAGCCTCTACCTGCTGGGCCCGGCGATCCTTCTGCGTCAGCCTTCCAAGTAGGCAGAACTACAGGCGCATGCTACCACACCCGGCTAACTTTTTGATTTTATTGTAGAGATGAGGTCTCGCCAAGTTGCCCAGGCGGGTCTCGAACCCACGGGCTCAGGCAGTCCACTCACTTCAGCCTCCCAAAGTGCGGGATTACAGGCTGAGCCACCGAGCCTGGCTACAGTGGGCTTTTTAAGGGGAGCAAAGGTGCCAGACCCGGAAACTGTAACATTGCATTGGTGTCAAGGAGGACACAACACTTGACTTTGTGACCCTGTACAAGTCAAGCTTCCATTGGGTTCCATCGGTCTGAACCAATATGGCGGGTCATTTGTTCCCATAGCTCTGAGATCTAGGATCCTGGGATTTATGATGGGAACTGACCCTATAGGGGTGGGTATATGGGCTGAACCACATCTCTTCCTGTGAACCAGGTAACCCAGTTAACCAAGGTGTTGGATGCGTTACTAGAAGGAGAAACGGAGGACCCCAACTTGCTGGAGTGCTACTTCTTAGAGGCTCTGTACTGTTCCCTGGGGGCTTCCCTGCTTGAGGATGGAAGGATGAAATTCGATGAGTATATTAAACGCCTTGCTTCTTTGTCTACTGTTGATATGGAAGGCGTCTGGGCCGGTCCCGGGGAGCTTCCAGGTAGGGGGGGCGTATCACCTGTTTTCTTGTAATGAGTGCTTTGGGTTGAATTTTTGGAGGAAGTGAACTTACATTTCCATATTTATGTATGTGTGGGCTTTCCAGATTATTTGCTTCTGTAGAGAAACAAGCACAGGTCGGAGCACCCGGTGGGACCCTCAGAAGTTTAAATACATGAATTGCTGTAGCAGGGGTGCAGTCCCTTTGGCTGGCCTCTCCTGAAGAGTCTGAGCTTTCTGTCACCTGAGATTAGGCACCTGCTCCTTCACTCCGTTAAGCGCTTTACACTTTTCACGTTCTGCCTGGCTTTCAGGTTCTTCTCCTTTGGGCTTCCCTATCTGTTTTTAAACCACCTCTCCCTCTCTCTTTTTTCTCTTAAAATGCATATTTTTATTTTTGTGACACGAGGTCTTGCTTTATTGCCAAGGTTGGTCTTGAACTCCCGGGTTCAAGCAGCCTCCCACCTTGGCCTCCCAAAGAGCTTGAATGACAGGCTTGAGCCCCACCTGACCTAAACCACCTCTCCAGAGTTCCATGATTTAACTCATCTGCTGTATTCCTGAGTATTTGCACAGTGGACAAGCACAGGTTTGTAGATAACTTAGAGGAAATCATCAAATTAGCATCTTCAGTTTTTGCACCAAAAAAATGCACATCTTCAAAAAATGGTATACAGTGAAAACTAGGCATCCTCCAGGAACTGTGTGTAATGCGAGGATCTTTCTTTTTTCCTCTCTTTGGACATTTAGGTATGGCTTGGCAGGTAGATGACTTTCTAAGTCGTAGTTTATAATCGTTACCTGGGTTTTGTTAAAGCTTAAAATAAAATGACCTCAGGTCTTTCTAATGGACAGTCATGGAACAAGTGAGAGATGGTTTCCAAGTCCTTGCTCGATTCAGTTGCAGTTGGGTTGGCCTTTCTCAGAGCTCGGTATCCCTTCTCTCTTGGTCTCTCTCCCTCTGTCTCCGTCTCTTTTGCTTCCCCTTCTCTCCCTCTCTCTCCTCTCTCCCTTTCCCTCCCCACGCGTTTCTCTCTCTTTCTCCCTCTCCCATCATCTTAATCTCTCATCAACTCTACCGCCTCGATATCCCTCTAGTTGTTCATTTCTCAAATCCCTACTGCCCTCGTCCTTGTCACTGTCCCTGTCCTTGTCCCTGGACGAGGCAGGAGCCTCAGTCACAGGTCTCCCTACCTCTAATCTGACTTCCTTCCAATCCTTTTTTCTAACACAGCCATATGGATCTTTTACAAGCAGATCGGATCTTGTCTCCCGTCGAAGGGATGACTTCAGTGACCCCAGTCCCTGTGGAGGTGTTGACAGGCTCTTCCCGTGGTGGCATTCGGTGCTGTGGCGTCATCTCCTCCCACACCTCGGCCCACTCATGGCCCTGCTGACTCCGTTCCCACCGACGACCCCCCATGCCCTGCGTTCCCACCAAAGGCCCCACTCACTCTGTTCCAGGCGCTGCCCTCCCCTACCCCAGCGGAGCCTCCCAACTGTCCTGCCCTCTCGTGCCAGGGCTGCCACCCTTCAGCCCTCAGTTCTGATGGCCCTTTCTTTGGGAGGCCTTCCTGACAGTGGCGGCTCCAAAATGTCGTTTTGATGGACCTAGAGGTGTCAGTCCTTTTGGAGAAGAGGTGTGAGGGTGTCATTTCTCAGAGGCAGGCTTGCATGGTACCCTGTGACTGCTGTTCATGGGAAAGCCTGGCATGGGTGGAGGTGGTTGTGATTATGGAAGGGCTGAGGTGCCCGAGCTCCCTGGGGCACCCAGCGGTTCTCAGCCTCTTCCCTACCCCCGGGCCTGGCTGCAAACCTTCATGGGCCACCAGCCTGTTGTACCTGATAACCCTCTGCTGCCAAACACAGCGCCTGCATGGAAGTGGTCTATCTCTTGCCTCTCTCTGCCCACACCCTGCCCTCCGGAATTCTGTGAGGTAGGGGCCAGGGTCTCTGCCTCGCTGTTGTATTCCTAGGGAAAGGACTCAGGAAGGGCACATCCAGTGAACGGGAAGCAGTTGTTCAAAAACACTCAGGATCTGCCCAGTAAAAGAGTAGCATTAGCTCAGGGTACCCAGGAGGTGTCTGTCCAATGAAGGAGTAGCATTAGTTCTGGGACTCAGGAAGTGTCTGTCCAGGGAAGGATTAGTGTGAGTTCAGGGTACTCAGCACGTCTCTGTGCAGGGAAGGAGTGACATTAAATACTCTTTCTAGTCAACAAGCATCACTGGTTCATTTCAAGCAGGTGCCAGCACCGGTCTGTATTTCCTTGTGTTGAAAATGAAACTGACTGTTCATGTCCTCCAGGTCACCTTCCCACCTTGAGCGACTTTCATTTTGATAACACTCAGAACCGATGGATCCCATGGAGCAAGTTAGTTCCAAAGTATATTCACACCCCTGAGCAGAAGTTCATCGATATCCTGGGTAAGTGGGGGTCATTTGCTAGTGTGTGATCCTCAGGGGAGGATCCCACGGCCACACGGGGACAGGAATTGAGGAAGGTGGACCGTAGGCCCTGCTGGGAGAGTGGCCCTTTGGTTCTGTGACCGCCGCTGGCTCTAAAGCATCCTCGACGGCCGTGACCTTCAGCCCTCTCCCCAGAGGTGTGTCCCCACAGGCAGCCGCAGCACTGCTCTGCTCTTCCCTGGGGTCCCCTCAGCCCACTGAGCTGGCTGGGTGTGGGGAGGCCTGAAGGACGTGAGGGAACAGGGACAAACAAGGCAGCGTTTTGTGAAGGCTGCTGCCTGGACGTGTCCTACTGTGGGCATTCACGTTCTGAGCCATGCTTCCAGTCTCTTTCTCTGACTATTTAGAGAGAGTGTGGGCTGAACAGTGTCACTGGGTCTTATTCGGGCCCATCGTGCTTATAGAGTGAGGCATCCCTGTTTTCTCAAGAGTCCCTCAGGATTAAAAACTGACAGTGTAGGAGTGAGCTCTACAGCTTCACTCTTCCGAGGAAGGGGTGGGTCAGGAAACCAAATCCCGCCTGGGTCTGAGGGATGTAAGCAACAGGGAAGTTGAGTTGTTAATATCCCGAGTATAAGTCACAGTTGGCTCTTCGCAACAGTTGGATACTCTAAACTTGGACTGTGGCAACGCAGCTGTAGAACTGCATCAAACTCATCCAATCATCCACTTAAAATGGGTGGATTTTATGGTATGTGAGTTATACCTCAGTAAAGCTAAAAAAAAAATAGTGGTTGGGGCAATGAAAGCAGTTTACCCCACATAAATGTTTCTGAGGTCATGTCTTGGCTGTGCTTTTTATGGGATGAGCAGGATTCTCTCGCAATGCCAGGTTGCCCTGTGCTCACCCTGTGTGGAGTTCCTGCAATGCTCCTATTCTTAATATATGTTTTTTAGTTCATACGGTGGATACAACTCGGACCACCTGGATACTGGAACAAATGGTTAAAATTAAGCAACCTGTCCTTTTTGTTGGAGAATCGGGCACTTCTAAGACAGCCACTGCCCAGAACTTCCTTAAAAATCTGAGTGAAGAAACAAATGTAAGTCGGTATATGTGTTTGTTATCTATTGCTGCATAACAAATGATCCCAGCACACAGCAGCTTCATGCAACAAACATTTATTGTCTCACTGTTTCTGTGGGTGAAAAATCTGGGAGTAGTCCCAGATGCTGTAGTCCCAGCTACTCAGGAGGCTGAGGCGAGAGGGTCACGTGAGCCCAGGAGGCTGAGGGCACAGTGAGCTGTGATCATGCCACTGCACTCCAGCCTGAGTGACAGAGTGAGACCTCGACTCAAAGCAAGCTGGGAGCTCAAGCTCGGGGTCTTTCATGAGATTGCAGCCACGCTGTCGGCCAGAGCTATGGTCATCTGGAGGCTTGACCAGAGCTGGAGGATCCTCGTCCAGATGGCTTTCACGTGGCGGGAGTCTGGAGGCCTCGGTTTCTCACCAGGGGGCCCTCTCCAAGGGCTGCTTGAGTGTCCTCGTGACATGACACGGATCCGCTCGGAGTGGATCCCAAGGCAGGCGGCAAGCCAGATGCTACAATGTCTTTTATGACCCTGGAAACCACACGCCATCACTGCTGTCGTAGTCTATGGGTCAGACAGAAGCCACTGTGAGCCACTCTGACACAGTGTGGGAGGGGAGTGTGCCAGGTGGAACACCTGGAGGGAAGATGGCCGGGGGCCATCTTGGAGGCTGGCTAGCAATTTGGGGTTTCTAGCCAGCCATTCGTCTACTGTGCTTGAAGGGTCTGATAGGTAACAGGCAGGGGAGCTGGCTGGGTACACAGTACAGGCGACAGTGGACCAGGCTATCGAGGTTTGCTCTGGAGGGATTCGCAGACAGTGGGGAGAAAAACACGAGGGTGAACATAGGGAACATGGCAGTGTAGGTGTCCAGGGTGCCCCCACATGACAGGGAGGAGCTGGTGCCTGAGTAAGTGGGCACCACTAGTCAAAGAGCTCATCCACACACAACCAAGGAGCTCCCGCTAGCCCCGCAGGAGCATGGTGAGAGGGCCTGGGGACAGGTGCGTGAGGGTCTCAGGGCCCTCCCTCACCTTCCTCTCCAGCCTTGAGTCTCGGAGCCTGCACACTGGTTGTTCATGCTCACTTTGACCTATTTATTAAGATGCAGTTGGCATGACAATAATGTATGTTTGAATATATTTATATTGAAAATGCTGGCTGGGTGTGGTAGCTCATGTCTGTAATTCTAGTGCTTTGGGAGGCCGAGGCAGGGGGGTTGCTTGAGGCCAGGAGGTTGGGACCAACCTGGGCAACATAGCAAGACCCTGTTTCTAAAATAATAAATAAAACAAAAAGCAATGGGGAAAAAAAGAAAGAAGACAAAAAATGCCATTGTGCATTACATCTCGTATGATTCAGTCACTCTGTGAAGCAGTCCAAACAGATGTTGTCACAATCACTTTGCAGGTAAAAAAGTGAGATTTTTGAAAGATTAAATAACTTTTTGAGGCCAGGTGCATTAACTTATATCTGTAATCCCAGCACTTTGGGAGGCTGAGGTGGGAGGCTCACTTGAGTTTGAGATAGGCCTGGGCAACATAGCAAGACCCCATCTCTACAAAAAAAGATTAAAAAATTAGCCAGGTGTGGTGGTGTGTGCCTGTAATCTCACCTATTTGGGAGGCTGAGGCGGGAGGGTCACCTGAGCCCAGGGGGTTGAGGCTGCAATGAGCCATCATTGTGTCCATGTACTCCACACTGGGTGACAGTGAGACCCCCGACTCAAAAGCAAACACACAAACAAGCAAAAACATGACTTTCTGGAGGTCACCTAACTGGAACTGTGCAGAGCCAAGACCCCCTTTCTGCTTTCACATCGTCCCCGAAGCCCACATGTGGCAACGCGTGATGGACTCATGCAACCCCCCCAAGAGGAAAGAGGATCTCTCGCTTTAGCTCTCGAGAAGCGATGAGGCACAAACTCACGTTAGGTTCTGAGATGTTAGTTCAAGGCCAGTGGCCTTGGTAGCAGATGGCGGGTTGTGCTCAGACGCTCACTGCTGATGCCGTGAAGAAAAGGCCAGCCTTCGACGTCATCTCTTTCTGCTTCAGATCGTGCTCATGGTCAGCTTCTCCTCCCGCACCACGTCCATGGACATCCAAAGAAACTTAGAAGCCAATGTGGAGAAGCGAACCAAAGACACGTATGGCCCACCCATGGGGAAGCGCCTGCTGGTCTTCATGGATGACATGAACATGCCAAAGGTAGCCTAAGGGTGAAGGAGGTGGGAGAGAGGGGGCAGGCCTGTGCTCGCGTTGTATTGGAGTGCGTGTGTGTCTGAAGCGAGCGCCTCTGAGAATGCGCGCCTTTCGCTCTGCACAGTGTCTGGGATGTGCTGGGAGGCTCTTCCCCTACAGAGGGGCCTTGTTCTTACTGACTGTGTCCTTAGAGGAGGGAAGCATGTAGCAGGCAGCCTTCCGACGATACGCACGTGAATTGGAGTAAGTGGTGTCCAGGTGAGCTCTCCTTTAGATGGTACCACTGTTCTTGGCTCCATGCACAGGGCAAGTACCAGGGCAGACACTTCCCAAGAATTCTTCTGGGCTTACCGGGAAGGGAAACTTAAACGCACGTGACGAATGTTTCCAGGTGCCAGAGCCGGAGAAGCACAAAGTCCTCTCAGCATACTGGAATTTAAATTTATGTCATTTCACAGAACCATCTTCCCTAAAGTCTGTCTGTCCAGAAGGGCTGCATGCAAAGCCAGGATCCATCTAGCCATATGTTTATTCATCGTTCCATCTGTTCTTTTGTTTATCCAGTCCACCTGTCTGTTTCTCCATCCACTCATCCATTTGTCCATGCACTCATCCATCTGTTTATCTGTTCATTATCCGTCCATCTATACATCCATTAATTTACCCATCTGTGTATCCATCTGTCCATTCATTTATCTACCTATTCACCTGTTTATCTGTTTATGCATCCATCATTCATAAGTCAGTCCATCCGTCCATCCACCTCTCCATCTGTTTATCCGTCCATCCATCCACCTGTTCATCTCTACAATAAACCAAAACTATTCATCCATCCATCTATTAATTCACCTCTCCATCTGCTTATCCATCCATCCATCCATCCATTCATTCACCTGTCCATCTGTCTTTCCATTCATCCCTCCATTCACCCACCTGTCCATCTATCCATCCACCTGTCCATCTGTTTATTCATCCCTCCATTCATTCATTCATCTAATTAACATACATTTATCAAGTACCTCCTATGGGACCGGTGCTCCGCAGTGTGCAAAACCCGTGTAGTTCCTGCCCTCATGAAGCTTACAATCTAATGAGGGAGGCAAGACTTTAAAAAACATAATCACAGGCTGGGCTCGGTGGCTCAGCCTGTAATCCCAGCACTTTGGGAGGCCGAGGCGAGTGGATTGTCTGAGCCCGCGGGTTCGAGCCCTGCCCGGGCAACTTGGCGAGACCTCATCTCTACAATAGATCAAAAATTAGTCGGGCGTCATAGCACACCCCTGTAGTTCCGGCAACTTGGAAGGTTGAGGGGCAAGGATCATTGGAGCCCAGCAAGTCAAGGCTGTGGTGGCTGGAAGTGTGCCACTGCACTCCAGTCTGGGTGATGGAGTGAGACTCCAACTCAAAACAAACAAACAAACAAACAAACAATCACAAATGAATACATAATTGCAAGCTTTGAGAAGCCCTGTGAGACTGAGATGCCCTGAGCAAGTAACAGGAGAGAAGAACTTTTAGTTCAGATCAGCAAAGACCTCTCTGAGCTCTGCTTCATGACACTCCTATTCTCTTTTCTTTACAAATAAAACCAAGGTGGATGAATACGGCACACAGCAGCCCATTGCCCTGCTGAAACTGCTCTTGGAAAAAGGCTACCTGTACGACCGTGGGAAGGAGCTGAACTGCAAGAGCATTCGTGACCTTGGCTTCATCGCCACGATGGGCAAAGCGGGAGGAGGCCGCAACGAAGTCGACCCGAGATTCATTTCACTGTTCAGCGTCTTCAATGTGCCGTTTCCTTCAGAGGAGTCTTTGCATTTAATTTATACCTCCATCCTGAAAGGCCACACCTCGGTAACTGATTTTAACTGGAAGCCTATACTGGAAGACCTTGGGTGGGGTGGAAACACAGGCAGCGTCAACGTCTCTGCTAGGCCCAGCAGGGACAATGGGAATGGCCCTCAGTACTTCTAAGAGCCCCGGAAAAGGTTTTAATTTCCTTCAAAATCAGAAGAAAAAAATCATCTTGATACCAATTCAGTTATGACATACGATTTCAATGTCTTTTTATGGAGGAAGGGGTCCGTGAAGGCAAAAGGGCCTTGGCACATGGCAGTCATGACGTGGCCCTCAGGCCACACTGAGTCGCAGCAATGATCAGCTAGGGATCTGGGGTGCTGGAGTCGCTTTCCATTCTGCTCCCTGAGCAGGTCCCTGGAGATCTCCTGACTCTATTCCTATCTGGAGCAAGGAGAGGATAGTATCCACCTCACTGGGTTTGGGAGAATGACGGGAGGAACCTGCGTGTAAAGTGTGTGGCACACTGCCTCGCCATAGCAGATACTCACTAGATGCTAGCTATTGCTGTTGTTATCATGATTTACTTGGCTCCCCCGAACGGGGCCCATTCAGCTAAACGATGACCTTCTGATCCTGGCATTTCCCTACTTAAGCACGGTCTGAACACTCAAAGGCGTCAGGGGCCAGTTGGTTAAAGTGAAGGCATGGCGTGCCCAGGTGTGATCAGTAGGAACTGTGAGTGGCTGGCATGTTCATGCCTTACCTAAAGGCATTTGCTTTTATAACTCTGAGGTTTGCACCCGTCAAATAAAATGCACACTGAGGGCTGTTTGGGTCTTTGGTTTCACATCATGTGAACTTGTCATTTAAAGTGCAAACCTAGAGCATTAAAAGCAGACCAGATAATGAGCTTATCTGCTCTTTCAGTGTTTAAAATCTCCATTAAAAAATGCAAAATTTGCATGACATAAGATTAGCTATTTTAACCATAAAAAAAGCATGAAACAAGCACTAACACAGGCTACGACATGGATGAGCCTTGAAAACATGACGCTGAGTGAAAGAGGCCAGACACAAAAGGTCACATATTGTATGACTCCATTTAC